AAACCTGCAATTTTGAATGAATAAAATAAACTAGTAACTACAGTAGAAATATTTAGTACTCTAAACATACACGATAAAAGTCATAAATTTGATCAGTGATCAAAGATAATATTAGATGATATTATATACATATTTTTTCAAAATTATCCGATGTAAACGGTCATCAGTAAAATTATACATTTCAAACGTGGCATGTATTTTATAATAAAATACATTAAAAATAATAAAAAATAATATAAAATATGAAATTCATTTTATTTTCATAATGTTTATATATACAAATATATGTATAAATGTAAGTAAAAATGTTTTGTATTTCGTTTAATTTTCAGTAGTAATATTTCGTTAAATTGATTTCATACACCACCTATACCGAGTGTACTCGTATGTTGTGATAAACAACAAATATTTATAGAGACATGATAATATTGCCATGAAAGTGTATTATCATAGGTCTCGATTTTTCACATTATTATATATATATAGGTGCAATAACTATTCAACAGTTGTCCGATCGCGTTCGCGGACAATAAACGTAGGCGTTTCATAGGAATAATGAGTATCAGAATCTGTAAACGACGACGTGAAAAAATTCGAAATTTATTTGTTTATTTCACCAATTCATTAATTTCAGTATATATATTTGACAAGAAATTAAAGCCTGCGTCTTGTATATTTTTTGACCATTACTATTACAATCTAATCATTGTTTTCTCCAAGTTGGACGTGCACGCTTGTCAGTTTTTGTCCCTCAAACATTTCCCTGCTACTGCGAACAGATGAAGACACCTGTTACTTTACTCCAAATCTGACATTTATTCAGACATACTCCACTTCACTACTAATGCTCCTTTCTATGTGCGAATAATCCCATATTTGATCACAATCTGGAAAATATAGTAATACGCTTAGAGCAGCTTATCACAGCTATAAACCATTTCGTGTAGCGAAACCCAGAACTACATAAATACACTCATATCTACAATTTCACTGAAAATTAGTTCTACATACGAAGGATATTTTTAATTTACGATCTATGACCGCAGTCATTCTACTTATTATTATCACACGGTTAATGGAGATAGTAGATATGTATTATATAAAAATGAAAAAATATACATTACAATGAAATTAGAAATTAGATTAATACTTTTAGTTTATTTATATATTTTAATTACATTGAAATAAAAATAAACTCCAACTAGCTAAGCTTTTATAAATTTACCAAAAAATATCTACATGTGAAAAAATAGTTAAATTTAATGCTTATAATATGGACACATATATACTGTAGATGCATATTAAAATTATATATTAGTAATAATAATATAGTTTTAAATATATATATATATATATATATATATATATGTTATTTAAAAAATACTTAGAATTTATAGTTAAAAATGAATTTTTGTTCGTCCATTTTGCTTTTTGAAAAACTAAATTTAATATTTGCACTCACGTTCCAAAAAAGAATAATACTACTTTTAATTATTTTTTTTTTTAATTATTATAGCATTTGTCAAATATAAATTATTTTCCTTTGTACGCATTACATTAATAAATATTTTGACTTATTTATATGATTTAATGTACTTAATATTATTATACCTTATGCCAATTTCTTATGTATTTTTCATTTAAAATTAAATTCTAAAGTAAATATTTACATTAAAAATGTATACACTTTGTTTAAATTAAAAATATTTAAAGTATAATATAGTGTATATGTATATTGTGTAATAATATAACACAGACTAGTAAACGGAACACATTAGTATTTTTATTAATTACTTATTGCACTAATACGTCGTATGTATAAATATAAAATTGTATTAAAAACTCTGAAGCCGAAACCTGTAATTTATTAATCACATTTTATTAAACACAGTTTCAACATTTAATAATTTGTAATTTAAAGCGTTAAATAACTTATATTAGATTTTAGAATTAAAATATATTTGACCTTCCATACATATACAAAAAATAATCATTAATCATATTTAAAATTTAATAGGTATGTAATATGATTTATTTTCATGAAGTAAAATGATTATGTAAATCAACTAAGTTCATTTACCTGAATTAAAAATTATTTATAGTGAATGAAAATTTCCCATTCTAATTACTCTAATCGTTTAAAACATGTTTAATTTGTAAAAATATCTTGTCGATTAATATTTTCCTTAGATAAAATACTGCAATAAGTATCACTAAACTATTTTACGGTCACATTAATTAAAATACTTGTATTATAATATTTTTTATCATATAAAGATAAAAAATTCAATTTATTTTCAAATGTTGTGGCTTTTAAGTAAATATTTATCAACACATACATAATACATTATACAATATTAAAACTCTCCAAAAAAAAAAAAAAAAACCTAACCATAACAATAATTTTATAATTATGTTGGTAATATTAAATACTTATACTATATTTGATGTTCTTAATTTTATGGTTTCTTTTTTTGGAATTTAAAGTGCTACTGATCATAACAATAATATAGATAATATTTCATAGAAGCCAAATGGCTATATTCTCTTGCGTGTTTTGTTATTTTGGATGTTTTGAACAGATTATTTAGTACATATTATGTGTTAACAAGATTCTTAATATTTTCAATCTTTAAGCAAAGAAAATTAATACATTTTTAAATTACAATATCCTAAAAGTTAATATTTTTAAACACTAGTCACAATATAAACATAAGTCCAACGTTTAATATTATGGTGAATAATAATTTGTAATCTAACTCTCTCTTAAATTTCTTGGTTTGGTTGTTAAGTTTATCAATTTTAATTTAATATTATAATTTAATGGATAAGTATATAAACAAATCATTAATAATTCATAAAAATGTTATAAACTTTAAAACTCTAAAAAAATACATATGACAACAAATTATTCATATAATTTATTTTTAAACATAAGTATCGCATTCACATATTTATGAGTTTATGTGTATGTATACTATGGGGATTAAGTAAATCTGTTCGTGACATTTATAATTGGCGATAAAAGGGTAGTGGTCAGAGTTTCGGGTTTATAATTTCACATTATTCGGACTTAATTCTAGCATTTATAAAATCTCTCTCTTAATATATGATATATATTTGAGAGAGAGAGAGATTAAAAAGTTTTTAAAAAAACCAATTCGCATCCATTCACTGTCAAAAACAATAACTCGGTTAGATTATTTGACAACCGTATAATCAGTCATACAAATCGTTTTAATTCCAACTGATATAGCCAACAATAAATAAATAAATTTATTATGGTTTTCAATACATATTTTATGAAAACTTTTCGTATTATTTCAAAACTTATTATACATTTATATACTAAATTTGTTTGGCAAAATATAAAAAAAAACAAACTTTAAACCAACATAGTAGTTTTTAGATTTATATAGTACTATAATAATACAAGGTTCAATGTTATTAAAAATAAGAACTAAAAATGAAACGTTTTTATATTTTACATTTTTGATTATTAAATGAAGGTATATTTATAATGTAAAACCAATGTATACCTATCGGTTGGTAAGCAACGTGTAAAATGTTAAAATTTATAATTACAATTTTAGTACATCAATCATTTTCAAAAATAATGTATCAAACAGTTTAAAAAATACGAATCACAAATATTATATAGTCGTCGATATTAAAAATTGAATTATTAAAATATTAAACTTGAGATGTATTAATAAACTACACTCGAGGAAAAATGTACTTGAACTATTTCAAAATAATACCTATAAATAAAATACAAATATTATTAAAAATGATATTAAAACACACTAGAATAAATATTTAAAAACTGAGTACATTAATAATGATCGATGTTGGGCAAAATAATGAACAAAATGTACAATTGTTTTTGTTGGATACCACAAAGTCTGAAAATATATCCAAGAGTGTTCAATTTTGTTATAAAATATGCTCTACGCATCAAATAATCTCAAAATAAGTCGCATAAAAAAATAATGCATAATGAATATTTGAACATTGATATAATTTATTATAATAATACTCGGGTACTAAGTACATATAATGTTAAGTTACGGTTTTTTATAATTATGTACACAATTATTTTTGAAATTGATTATTTGAAAATGACAGTCGAAAAATACGAGTGTAACGAAATAAGTGACCTAAAATGGACATGAATTATTTTTATTTTCGTATATGCATCAAAGTTAAATCGGTAGACAAAAAGTTGAAAAAAAAATCAAATCCAATCGGAATAAAAATTTGACTCGTCAATGCCCATCGGTCATGCAAATCACGTACGTTTTTTTATACTTCACGAAATCTCTTGAACGAAATCAAATTTTGTACGGAGATACTGAACCTGTACGTTTGACCACCGCAGGGCAGATAGTAAATAACAATCGTGTGTGCGTACTCACAAAACCGATTATATAGTCGAATAAAATAGAAAAACAATGTGAAATAGACGTAATAATGAGCGAAAAACTTTAAAAAAAAAAAAAAGATCAAGAGAATATAATAATGCTCTTGTCCGATGTGCGTTTTCGGACGGAAATATTTGACCGGAGGACGTCGAACAATGTGGCGGAACGGCAAAGCGACCGTCAGCGGACGCGAGCGAAACGCAAATGCGATCGCGCAAACCCGAAGCGGCTTTTGTCGGGGCGAGAGCGGATTATCATCGGACAAATTACGTGGATCGGGTTTCGCACGTGGCGTCGGCGGCAGGGCGTAGGCGAGCGATCGGACAGGCCGCGGCCGGCTACGTCGGCGGCCTTGACGTCGGCCGTACGATGCGGCGGCGGAAGACGGGACCCGCGCGTAGCACAGGATGACCGCCGAGGACGATACGGGATGGGACGTGTGGACGTGCGCGCGACTCGGTCGTATCGTAACGCGACGGGCGAGTGGCCGCGGGCGAAAGGAGGTGTATAATCGCGAGCGCCGCAACGGCAATGACATTGGCCGCACGTCGGTCCTGCGCGGTATATAAACCGCCGGGCGTCTGGTTGTCATCACCATTCAGACCCGAAGCACCGGACCGCGCACGAGTAGCAGCCGAGTAAACAGTCTTCGTTTTTCCACCTAGTACGCCACAAGCACACATACCCGTCTTCATAATGATGTCTTTGGTGAGTACCGTATTATATAGTTTCTCTGCACGCGCCCCGTCGCCGGGACGAGACGCGACCTTTTTTTTTTTTTTTCGTAAGTAATATCGTTATAATAACTATTTGTATACACCACTGTGATTATAATAGTTATGAGTTACGGTTGTGACAATGATTCGAGTGCGGGTCCGCGGAATATTTTATCACAAACGCCGTCATTATACGGCGAACCATACGAGTACGTATATTCGCGGGGTGAGTCGTCTACGAACGGTTTTCGAAACGTTTGAAAACAAATCCCTGTTTAAAACCCTCTGCGAAACGTTCGATGAATTTTTTCGATTTTTCGGTAAATTTTTTATTTTTTATTATTATTACATATTTTTCTTGTACACGTTTTCGACATTATTTCAACGAGTAGTGTTTTTCTAAAAACATTTTTGTTTCCATTTTAAAATATTCGCATGTTTTCAATATTTTTACTATCTTTAATAAATATTTTAGATTAAAAAATACATTAATTTATGAATATATTTTTAAAATAAGTTATGACTCAAGATCTTCTCGATGGAAAATTTTAACTATATCGACATTTTCACCAAAACATTTCAAAACCGTATAACATTTAATTTTCTTCGTCGTAAAAGAGTACTTTTAGTTAGTAAATCGTTTTTACCGATTATAAATGTTAAATATCGTTAATATATATATATATATATACAAAAAATGTATTTCTTGATTAAATATTAATGATTGCACAGTTTGGTTATAGGCACACACAAATTATGAACAGCTTTTAATTTGAGTTCTTATGAAAATTTTAATTTTAAAAATTACCTTCTGTTATTTTTATTAAAAATATTTTCTTTAGGTATATAATTTTTTTTATGTATTATTTTTTTTAAGTGCAAATAAATCTTATGAATAAAAATCACATTAAAAATTATAGCGAAAATTAAATAAAAATAAAAAACAAATTAAATTTTAATTTTAATTTGGTTCATAATTTAAAGTTACACGAATAATTTTTATGCATTTTATTTTTTAATAACTCTAATGAATAAGGTAGATCTATTTTATTACATATTTGCATTTTAATTTTCCCATCATTGTAATATAGCTTTACTTTTTCATTACAGTCATAACAAAAAATATATAATACCATTTTTCTCGGTTTGAACCGAAAACTGAAAGATGATAAAATTCGATTATCATTCATCTCATCAAATAACCGATCTAAACGGGTGTGTAATGTCTATTATCATGCTAGACGTATCCTTTTGAGGGGGGTCAATCGAAACGACGCTCCGTAACGAATTACATAATCCGTCGCCTAAATACGATTATCTACAGCCACAGTTCTTATACGCTATTGCGGCTCCACATAAAGAGTAGTATCTATGAGTGCAATCAGTTCGAAATGTAACAAAACACCATCTAATAAGACTGTCCGATTATTGAAGCACGATATCTCGTCATATAAAAATTAGATTCAATTAAATATTGGCATTAGGTTGATATCGTGAGCGATTTCGTCTAAAGTTTTCTACAGAATTTTAACACGTCGTATCATCGATTATTTACAATTATATCGAATTATTACTATAATAATATCTAAATCCAAATTGATGGCAATGGATTTTGTTAGATAGGATTGATTATGCATAGAATTCAGTGTAGAAAAACAATGAAGGGGTGATGACGAATGCGTGATGACATGCATCATGACATGATGACAAACGTTAGCAGCTAATAATTTTATTAGCTAAATTTATTTTTACCTATACGAGTATATACATGGTTGTAGTTTTATCTTTTCGAATCTCTCTGACAGTTTTTATCTTTTATAACACGCTAAATTGAATAATGATAATATTAATAATAAACCGTTGAGCCAAGGGCCACCGTAGTGGAATAATATATGACCCGGGCACGAATCGTAGATATTATTAAAAATAGTACACGGCTATCTGTTCAATTGTGAACGAAACGCAGCCGTGACAAATACGACAATAAAGATTGATCTATTTGTCACGGCATGCCTGTGGCGACGGAAGAAACTATATGTATGAGTGTGCATGTGTGTGTATACGTAGTAATGCGAATGAACTGAAAATCTTATTAAATACTTATACGTGTATTCACGCACTATGTGTGATTAATTAAATCGTATTCGGATGTTTATTGAAAAACGCGCAACCGGGACTATACAGCCCGCGAAGACTTTAACGACCGTTAATTTTTACCAATATATTTGTAACACTGATCGAATTCATTGTGAAAATCGCATTTTCTTAGCGATCACTCGATAAAATTGCTGTAGAGCGAATGTCGGTCACACGAAATTCTAGGGAATAGATACCCTACGATTGTTTCAACCCACCGACGGCGCCCGCTAGCATTAGGTCGCATGCCGTAGCTAAGCTAATATAGCCCCAAAGAACGTATTGGAAAGCGAATGAACGTGATAAATCATACTCACCCGCTGCGAAATCCCATGCTTTCTAATGCAAACCGGCATTTAAAAAGCTCGGGAAAAAATATATCATCAAGCGCTTTTGTTCGGCTTAAACAAACCGAGTATGCATATATACATACACATATAATAGACAACAAGTATCAGGTACATCATGTACAAGTGAATTCGCACTCGACGTCTATAGAACGGTCGCGGAGCATAAATAAAATTCGTCTATAATTGATATTTTACACCTATTCGCGAGACCTGACGTTTTTCTATTTGGACGCACACCACACCATAGTAACCGTTCTGCTGCGGTAGCCTACCTATTTTATCTGTAAAACGAGTATAATGTTATACGACGACAATATTGTCGAACGGCAAATTCGGTGCGCGAGCGTATGTTGAACTCGTAAAAAATTCGTTTTTCAATACACAACACAAAGACATACCGGTACACATATTATTATTATTATTACGTATTATTGTGCGCGATGCGAGTGCGCGCGTGCATACTACGGTCATGCGCGGAACAGAATAGACCTTTGAAAAATCGCGAATCGCACGTCCGCGACGACCACTTCGATCAATCGACACCGCAGACAATCCAACGCGCACTTCTGCCGCGACGTTAGAACATATAAAATCTCAACAATAATACCATCTCCGTATAATAATAATAATAGTAATATTACATCCACAATGGGGGTCCTCTGAAATCAGCACGTCCGAATCGTCGTCACTGTCGCCGAGCGCAGCAATTCAATATGATTTCCGATATTCGATTGTGCGCTACGACGTATATCTGGGCCACTATATTACTATTGCGTGCGCCACACATTATGTTATTGAACACACGTTCGGCCGCGATTAATTATTATTAAATGAATATCACTCGCGTCCCGTCTGACCGGCGCGACGACTTTACGCGGTACCTATTGTGCTGCGCGTCCGCGTACTGACTCGTATTGCGTCCGAGCAAACCGAACGCGATTTCCGCTCGGCATAATCGCGCGAACAAAAATTATTTTTCCGCCGACATTATTTAACGTGCGCCGAACGAAATGATTACGCGGTAGAACATAACCGCGTGCGATATCGCTACCACCAGTGACGGAACTATGGGGTGGAAGACGGGGGTTCATCTCCGGGCGTAATATTTTAGAGGGTATAATTTTTGTAATTATTAACAACTAATATTTTTAAATTTGTTAAATACTGTTATTAGGTTAAAACTCTTTCCCTTAAATTTAATACTATTTTTATTTAAACAATTTTTTAAAACTATTTTCCTTGAGCGCAAAAATTCCTAGTTCCACTTTTGGTTACGTATCCGATCGGTGCTATCCGTGCACGTGTACGGAGTGACCGTGCGCGCATACGTCGCCATAAACTATAACCCGCTTTCCATTATTCGCAGGTGGTTGTAATTGGGCTCGTAGCCGCATGCTCGGCCAGTCCTTCTCTATACTTCAACGCGCCGCCAGTGCAATACTACAGCGGTTATTACCCGTCCGCGGTGGTCAGCCCGATCAAGAGCCAGTACCACACGCAAAACGAGCTGGGACAGTACGCGTACGGCTACAACGACGGATACTCCAGCAAGTCCGAGACCAAGCACGCCAGCGGTCTGACCGAAGGAGCGTACTCGTACGTGGACCCCAACGGCGTGCTCCAACAGTACAAGTACGTGTCTGACGAGAACGGTTACCGCGTGTCCGGCACTAACTTGCCTGTGGCCCCGGCCGTCCCAGCGGTAGCTGCTGCCCCGGCACCGGTCCAGGCCGTGGCTGTCGAAGCCGCGCCAGCAGCCGCACCGGTCAACGACGCCGAGATCCCGCAGCAGGTGCAAGACACGCCTGAGGTGGCCGCCGCCAAGATCTCGCACCAGATCGCTTACGACGAAGCCAAGAAGGCAGCTGAAGCCTCACCCGACGATGGACAGTACAACGGAGATTCATCTTCCGATTCCGTTGAAGTCCCCGCCGCCCCGGCCGCCCCGGCAGCCCCGGCAGCCCCGGCAGCCCCGGCTGCCCCGGTAGCCCCGGCCTCTACAGTCAAGACCGGTTATAGTTACCACCCGACCGCATACGCCGCGTACCCATCGTACGCCTTTGCCGCCCCGGCCCCGGTCGCGTCCTACGCCTACGCCGCAACCCCGGTCGCAACTTACGCCGCGGCCCCGATCGCAGCTTACGGCTACGCCCCGTACGCCACCTCGTTCTCCGCCGGATCATACTCGCCGGTGCACAGCCAGTATCACGCCCAAGACGAATTCGGCCAATACTCGTACGGCTACAACAGCGGCTCGTCGTCCAAGGCCGAAGCCAAGTCCTTTGACGGTGTCACGCGCGGCGGTTACTCGTACGTGGACGCCAACGGAATCGTCCAGCAGTACAGCTACGTCTCCGATCCGGTCAACGGTTTCCGCGTCGCCGGCACCAACCTGCCCGTCGCCAAATCTTCGTAAGAAAAATCGAACACGTGCACACCATAACCACGACTCATCGAAACGTACCACCCGCTCCGATCCCCCCCCTGTCCCCTCTCCAATATTCCCGCTGCCACGTCGTTTCCGCAATTTGTATAGGTATCTCCGAATATGTAATGTCTACGGTGTTACGATACGGTACTCCCGAGTGCAATGTGCGTGAACAGACGAATATTATTTTACATTGTACATTGCTGCTTTAGTGTCCCATAATGGTCGACCGGTCCGGAGCGGGGCGTGACGTTGCCGAGGAACGTCGGATCCGTTTGACCGCGTATACCGTACGTGTACTTGTACGCGCGTCAAACCGAACCGGTGGACTTTGCCTTGCGCAAAGAAAATCGTTTCTCGACACCGTCACGCTCGCCACTCCTCTTCCCCTAGCCATCGCCGATACGGCGATGACGAGGCGGACGAAAAAGGGCTGAAAAAAAAATTCTTGTTTGCTCTTAATATTTCTTCTTTTTTTTTATATATATATATATAAAAACACACAATATCTTCACGTGATCACGTCAATTATTATTATTGTATTTTTGGTAATTAAAACTCTGTTAATAAATTCACGATTTTGTAACTATATATAAATATATATATATACATATACATGTGTGTATTGTTTGTACGTCTCTTGTCATTATTTTTACTGTACACCAGACAGGTATACGTTTAATACACGCTAACAATGATATATACCTATACACGGAGGACGCGTCAACTGAAATCGTTTATGTTGAGTTTACTGCTCAAGTAGTTGTGGTTCGCGAAACAATACGTTTGTCTTTGATAAAAACCGATCGAGTGATGTTTTAATGATCATAACATTGGTAGCTAATCAAAATGATTTCAAAACAATAACGCCACTTGAGTTCACCGATTACTTTGAACACTTAACAGTGGCTCATTACGATTAATACAATGATATACGTACCTACTATTATTTTTAACATTCAAATATTCTTCGTATAGTCCATGGAGTTCTCGGCGTCGCCAATAAAGTGCAAATCGTACTGGATTTCATTTAATGGCGTACCTATAATAAAATATATTTAAATTTGAACGTATTGCAAATATAAACAGGTATACTCTCGTATTATCTCGTAGCATATATCACGAATGCAGTTTTTCGTATAAATTGGATTTGCATTATTACTGTACCATGGACTTGATTTTTACGGAATTGGTCAATATTGAATAAAATCTAGACTATATAGATAGGTACGCCGACTAGCTATATAATGAAAGTCTCATAAATAAGGACGGAAGATTCATCATGTATACGAATAACTTTTACTCAACAGTTTTATTCAACATTTTTATAAGTCTTAATATTCAATAGCACTAAAAATGGCAATAGAGGATCTGCTATAGGTACTTACATGCATATTCAAGTTACATACTTATATACATACCTATATCATATATGTACTGTAATACATCGTTCGTTTTATAATCCAATAGAAAACTTCATGTATCAACAGCTTTTGTTTTTTATTATTCCGAGTTAACATTTTACTTTTATTGTTTATAAATTTTTGATGTGGCATAATAATATCAATTCACCTGCTATAGTAGACAATTATACGATCTCAGCTGTATGTACGACGAAATAACCAAACATCACGTGTTCAACTAAAAAGTCACACTAAAAATTACATTTTGTGTTTGAATGGAATGAAAAAAATAATTTACGACATATTTCAGCAATTACATTATAACAGATTGCAATTAATAACATTAATCTGTATCTTCGTCGCCTTTATAAGTTTCAAAATGCAAACAGATACGGATTTTAGACCAATATATCTACCTGCAAGCAATTTTAAGAATATTTGTTTATTAAATTATTGACCAATTCAATAAATAAATTTAAGTTTAAATAAAACTAGAATGTTTAATTTTAATCAATAAAATTTTTATTCGTTTTTAAAAACCAAATAATAATTAATTACGTTAACTATAGTTGGTTATGTCTGTTAAAATGTCGTAAGACTTAGTTTTTTTTTCTCACTTAACGTTTACTTTAAAATATATCAATTTCGATAATTTAAGTGATTTAACTGTATAATTCCTGTACATAAAATACTAAACTTTTATGTACCTATAATTGTTAATTTTACTGAAAAATATTACATAATATTGTACTTGTAAAACATACTTTAGAAGCCATTTGAGTATAAAGTTATTAAATAAATGAATACCGTACATATATTAATAATTTAAAAAAAGTGTGGGACGTAAAATGCAAAAATCGATAATGTCTTAAGTATTACTGATCCATCAATTGATGTGAACTATTAATAATGTACTTTAGTATTTATGTAATTAATTTTTGAGATCGACCCAGGGTGATAGTACAGATAAAATTTTAATTTGTTAGTAAAAGCATTATTTTATTATTATGTGAATGTTTTAACAGTTTAGCTGAACGTTCAAAATGAATTACTTGCTCTCAAATAAAACATAATACGAGTATATTATTATTGTGTACATGTTAACTATTATTTAATTTTATCATAATAATAGAACAGTATTTAGACATAAGTGTCCATAAAATAACACCCACAACCACAAATCTTATTCACGAAAAACAATAAACTAATACAATAAAAATTAAAACTCACTCAGAGAGTTATTTAAACACTTATCTTAAAATATTATGCTGCATTAAAATTACTATCCCAGTTAATTTTTTAAAACAAAATTACAACTGACATCTAATGTGTAAAATACGCATTCGTGTTATAATTTCAGAAAAAATATATTATACTAAAATCTTATGCTACTAGAATTTCGACTACACATATATGTATCATATGTTACTGGTTTCAATTATTTTAATATGTTTAAGCCTTTATGGTAATATAAAGAGTTAAAAAATCTAAATGCACTGATATAGTACAATAATTAATATAACAATAGTATGCTTATGCAGTATTATGATGTGTTACGGAGAATGTTACTAATCCAATGGCATTATATATTTATAAACTCTAGACATACTAAGAACTAGGGATGGGCATGAAATCCGAATATCTGAATTATCCGGATATCCGGATATTCAAATCCGGATTTGAATCAAATTCTTATCCGGATTTGCCAAAGTATCCTGATTATTCGGATTTATGAATTTGCTTTTTATATAACTTATAATTATTTTTAATTTTTAGTAAAATAAATTATTTTATTTTATTGTAACAAAAAATTAATATTATATTTTATGAATTTATAATGTATTATTAGTTACCAAAATTATAATTTACTAAATTGTTGAGTTTACTTTATACCTCTATGACTCACAATGATATCATGACTGAATACCCAATTAATTTATCTTACCTGCATAACCTTAGAATGGTTATTGAATAAAATTTTCTGAAGAAAAGTTAAATTTATGTAAATATAAAAATGAGTAATTGAACAGCAAAATTGAATTGAATAATCCGGATAGTTCGGATAATCCATGAAATCCGGATTTGACAAATCCAAATAATTCGGATTTCTTAAATCCAGATATGCCCATCACTATAAGAACTAATAATCCGCGATACATCGTGCATCTATTTAATAAATAAAATAATAGTAAATAATATAATTATACCCATGCCCGTCGTAAGATATTTTCCTCCCTAAATCGAAAATTTTAATGCGGCTCTTAAGATATTGAATTAAATAGTTACATGCAAAATATTGCGATTAACATTTTTTTATAAATGTATTGATTCGATTGATTTAAGTTGTTGTCTTTTTAGGAAATTTGCCGCCTCAATTTCTTTAAAATGTTATGCTGTCCTAAAGCAACGCATGGCTTGCTTATACCCTAGCGACGGGACTGGTTATATCACAACATTAGGTACCTCAGACGTGTTATATAAATAAGAGTATTAAAAAGACAAAGTAAAGTAATCATATTATACAATAAATATTTCATAAAACTATAGATATTAATTATTTAAGTATTAATTTACCGATATTCTTAAACTGGATTAGGTCGTTTATTTTTTTTCTATGATCATATTTATGGGATACAACGGACACACGGATTATTTTTGATTCTCAAAAATGAAAAAAATATATATGTAAAAACTTATGAAGTATATTGTATTACCTATAGTTTTTAATTTACTATAATATTTAACTGACATTTTAATGCATTTTATATGTTTATATGTTCATTTGAAGTATTAACAATTATAATAATAATAATGATATAAATTATTTTATACATTTATCTTATATGGACTTTCATTAACTGTAAATAACATCTAATTTGAACACAAATTATCTAATATAATTATTTGAACACCTAGTCAAGGAATGAGAATTAAAATTATGAATAATTATTGTTTTATTACCATTAGCTATATGTATTTATACTTAGAATAAATAACATTACATAATTTTATATTACACGTGTATCTCCATTATAAATGACATCCATAACATCCTAAGTACTCGTATTACGATTATTATGACAAATTATTAATTTTAAATATTAGATAATGATCTCTGCCATAAATTTTAAATCAGTTAATTGTCTAGAATCTAGATAAACTGTGCATGTACATAAAATACAAACACTTGTAAGTTGTAATGTAATAAAACTAGTAAGTTGTTTTTATTCTAGAATTTAACTGCATTTTGTATGTAAAAAACCATGAAAATTCTTTGTTAAGGTTTTTTAAATTTTAAATGGTCATAACAACGAATGAGCAATAAACCAGTTTTACCAATCTACTCTAGTTAGTTTTATGTTAATATATTTAAATTTATATCGACCGAGTTTTCTTAAATTATTATTTTATTATATTTAAAAAAAAAAGAATCAAACAAAAGAAGTTATTGTGAAGAAGTAAATTACATGTAAAATGAATATTTTATGTAGATGTTTAAAGAATATATGAAAACATATGATAATTCGTTCAAGATAAAATATTCTTACAGTAAAATATATAATTGCCTGAAGCTGTTAAATATACTTTGAATTTTAATTATACTCTAAATGTATATTGAATAAATTATTGTTAAATAATGCGCTAAATTACATTGGTTTGTTTCTTTGGAAAAATAAAAAAAATGTGCATTATTTATATTTATGGTTTTCTTGAATATATTGGATTTAAGTTAATTATATAAATTATGCATATGTGATTACTGTAAAGCATAATATCATCAAATAAATTAATATTATTAAATTAATCAATAATTTAGTATTTTATCATTCATTTGGGTACTTTCAACTTCATACATATATAATATTACATTTTAATAACGATTCTTCGCAATAAATTATATAATATACTCTTATAAATATTATGAATAGAATTGATTAGAGACAAAGAGAAATATTAAAACAAAAGTATTTCTTACAGTAATAACTTTTAGAATTATATATCAATCATAAAAAAAAAAAATCACTCTAACGAGAGTTAGCCACAAATAATTTTAAATATCTCATTTAAACGAATCATTGCTCCGGGATTTAATACATATCTTAATTCTGTATCAATCATAGGTTGTTCCTTAAATATAACATTTAAAAACGATTACCAAAATAAAAATAATCTTACTCATTATTCATT